TGCACTACTTTTTTATCTCGAATTCAATGCTCAACACATTTACCAAGCACAGACTAAGATGTATTATTTAAAGTAAAAGGAAAGGGTTGTGGTTAATAAATTTAATTTTTTAATTAACGAAATAAAAATAACATAAAACAAAAAATTAAGCACATCTCTTTTCCTTTTTACATTACATACACATTGTTAAACATCTCAAAAAATAATTAAATTACATTGGTAACATTAACACGTCAATTTATAAAATATTACATGCGCAACATATTTGCAACATTTACTTATAACTATGCCAAAAAGATTTCAAAAATACCAGTAATCCAATAAACCGCGCTAATTCAAAGTTACTTACATAAAAACAGCTTTATAGAGCTCGTGTGACTATTATACATTGATATAAAGTATAACAATAACGTAGAATACTTAACTCGATAACAATAGGCTTTAAAACAATTCATACCAATCGGAAACAATAACACGATACACTGAGAATACAAATATTTTCCAATAAACAAAAAAAATGCTTCAATAGAATGCTTTTTAAAGTTCCCAAGGTGCTAACGATTCTTCAACTACTTACCTACCTACGTATAATTTTTAACAAAGTTTCTAACAAGAAGTAATTGAAAATCACAGCCTATTTACAACTTTAAAACAGTAAAACAATTCCCAACTCAGACATTGATCCTTAATACTGAACAAGGATTGTTCGTGCTTGCGGGCACGAACTTACTAACCAATAACACAATCTCCAATAGAAGCAATTAAAAATATATTTGACAGTGTTAAAGATTATTCACTAAAATATTCGTTCATAATATAAATCGTAAAATAATATTTTAATCGATTAAACTGTCAAATACCAAGCGGTCACCGGTGACCGCAACCTATTGTTCTATAATTGTGTCTGCAAAACCGGTACTCGACGAGTTAAACATCGTTACTTTCTACAACAAATGAAACTGCAAATAATCGATAAAAATCGATTAACAACGAAAACAATAATTTCACTTTCATAACAAATCGTGTAAAGATGTGTACACATACATATGTGTAGAGGTTATTATGTGAGCAGCTGAGTGGGCGAAAGTGCGTTCACTTTCACTCGGGGTCACATACTACTGCTTGTTATCACATAGTATCGATATTTCCAAAATCGGACTGGGATTTGGGCACTGCAGTATCTTTGGTGGACTCAATGATCATGTTCATGAATCCAGTATGTGTTAATTAGTTTCTAATATGTGGTAGTCATTGGAAACTGTTATTCTTTATAAACGCCGGATAAAATTGTATCATTAGATAAGTAAAGTAAATAATAATTATGTTATAAACTACTTTTTAAAAAACCTACTTCAAACCCCTTCTTTTTTGAAGTCACTTAATTATTATAGGTACTTAAATCTTCTCCTGAGTCACCTGAGTGCAACAAACACTTATCTGAAAACCGCATCAAATTGGTTCGGCCAGTTACAAGATAATCGCGCACAAACAAGCATGCATAGATGCATACAAAAAACCAAACCTTTTACTATTTTTTAAACTTAGATCTACCTTTCCTTAGTCGCATTTTACTGACCAATTAATATGTAACTCATGATTAAGACCTCACTATGCTCCATCCTAGACCACGTCGCCTACCACCAGGCGACATAGTGGTCAAACGTCGTCGGCCCATCGAATATATAAAAAAACTTGCTTGTTATTTGTTAACATTTCATACTCGGTAGTCCCAGTCACAATTTTTCTTGAACTATGTAAATAAAGGTTTTTTAAAATGCTACGTGCATTTCTGAAACTGTTATAAGCGAGAATTTGTCATAACATCACGCCGTTTATTCACGAAGGGGTAGTCAGAGGTGCACACAGAAGTAACACCCACTTTTCACTATTTATGTTATGAGTCCCATGGAATAGGGGGTGAGCCTATTGCCATATACTGGGCACATTTCCAGACTCCGTGCTACTACTGAAATTTTTTTATAACCCAGAAATATTTTGTCCGACCCGGGAATCGAACCCGAAACCCTTTGCCCGGCAGTCGCACTTGCGACCACTCGGCCTACGAGGCATGCATAAAACAAGAGTTTTCATACTATATTTATGTGGATAAATATTTAAATTGCATGTTTAATTAAAATAGTGACTGGTCAAAGCTCACATGATGCTACTTAAAGCCTTTATATAAGTTCTGCCTGAAACTTCGCACCAATGCGCTGGTGACTACTCGACCAACACGACCATCTTTTATAAAAGTGTCAAAAAAATAAAAACCCAAACTTCCATTACTTCTTCGTGTACAATGTGCATCCAATAAAAAATATTCGGTACCTATATTAAAGCAAGCTGAACATTTCCTGAAACGCTTGAGTGCATTAGGCATTACATTTACATTAAATTAACGTTTACCTACAATTTCATTTCCTTAATGTTACCTACGCACCTAGCGTGCTCTTGTCCTTAACTTTACATGGCTAGTTGCACACACACGCAAATATACTGCTTTTTCAGGGGCAATGATTCTTGAATAATTATGTTTGAGGATAGGTATTATCATGTTTGAACACTTTCGAATTATTTACTCACACGAATATTTAGGAATATTTTCTGCAGATGTTTTTTTTTTCACTTTACTTTTATCTATTCTAATTGAATGAACGTAATCAAAAAAATATAGCAATTATAACAATCAATTACACAAACACAATGGCAAATAACAGAAAAGAAACTAATAAACCGCATTAAAATAAAATGCACCATAACATTATTTATCTACATAAAAAATAAATCAATAAACTATCGAAAAAAGAAAACAATTTAAAAACGATAAAATTCAAAATGGCGCAGCTCTTATGTCACTTTCACCTCGCAGACGCGCGGACAACGCCATTGATTTTCGAAACAAGATTTACATAATGCAACACTTTCCCTTGAATCTTCTCGATAACAACTATGTTAATATATGTATAACCTTGACAATATATAAAAAATATATTAATAAACATAAGAAAACACACACAATTATAACCCTTATACTGTGAGGTTAAGAGTCATAATTATGGATAATTAATGGTGACCTTTAGACATAGTTTTGTTGCAAAATAAACGCATTAATGGATATCGGTCTGGTCATCAAGATATGTTTAAATCCGTGTCTGAATCCGGTTGCGTTTTGCAATATTGTCTGTTTATTTTTGCTTAGCTAGTCGACTACAAGCTCTGGGACAGAATAGCTCCGATAGTTTTATGACGACTGCAATTTTATTAATGTAAATATAGGCTTAAGAAAATATACAGACGAATTGATAACCTCCTCCTTTTTGGGAAGTCGGTTAAAAAAATGTGTCTTGTTTTCTTTTCGATTTTACAAATAATCTTTTACACCTGAAAAATATGTAAATTGTACCTTTCATCATCAGTAACATTTAGGTATAATATTCCAATTTATCGAAATCGGTTCAGGGATTTTTGCGTGCAATCTCTTTCTTGCCATTTAACTCGTCGAGTACCGGTTTTGTAGACACAATTATAGAACAATAGGTTGCGGTCACCGGTGACCGCTTGGTGTTGGTCAGTTTAATATTGCTTAAACATCTAGTTATAGGGAAATGTAATTCGAGATATAGAGGTATAAAACTATAAAATATTTGTAAAAAAATATTACTCAGTTCAGTTTTTGTCTACATTTAGACTACATTAATTGAAGGATCAAGGAAAACCTCTTCTGAAGGTGTTCGTTTAGTTAGTAAGGACAGGTTACGTGTGTTATTTTCCTTCAATATTTATAAGAATACAACAGAACAGGGTTGTTATACGGATAGTCTATTTTAAAGTTAAACCCCAATGTTTCTGAAGTTATTGTGTAGTCGTAGTTACAGATTAGGGAATCTGTAACCACGTGTTCTGTAACAAATTTTCATTCCCTATGGCACAAGGATACCATAGGAAATTTTACCTATTGAAATATTCAACAAATTACCATTCAAATGACATCAAATTTCTAAAGAAAGTAAGTATACAACTACGAAATACGGGACATTACCTCTAATTAAATCGAACGTGCGGTTTCATTAGCTATTGATACGCACATCGCACTAATATCTGCGGTTCACCGAGCTCCGTAATTAATTAGTTGACGATCTTACCACATGCGACCATCAACATACATAAACATACCACATAGCTCTACATGACATGTATCGATTACTAAGAACATTCACATATGTACTAAAATAAGTATAGGATCCAAATTAATATATTATCTAATATAAAAAAAATCCTCACCCCCTATTACATGAAACTAATAACATAAATAGTGAAAAGTGGGTTTTACTTCTGTGTGCAATTCGGAGTCGCGGAGAACCTAACGGGTAACCGGGGCTCCGGTTCGACGTGCAGGAGAAGGAACGGGGTGGTTTTTAGTCAGTAAGAGTCTGACACTCCCTCCCGCCTCACCCAGGCGGGAGCAGTCATTCGATGATTTTCCCCCTTAAAAAAACTTCTGTGTGCACCTCTGCCTACACCTTCGGAGATAAAAGGCGTGATGTTATGTTATGTTATAAAAAATCCTTTTTTGAACTGTGGGTTTTTTGGAGGGGCATATGATCCAATGGCTTTTCCCGCCTTGGATTAGTCGAGAGGGAGTGTCAAACTCTTATTGACTAAAACCACCCCGTTCTTATTACTGCTCTTCGAGCCGGAGCCTCGGCAACCCGTTAGACTTTCCGCAGCTCTGTATCGTACATCAGCCCTACGGCATGCAATGTGCTGCAGAACGGGGAGATTATGGCAAACCTTCTTATGTAGAGAAGACCAATAGTCCTGCAGTGGTCCGCCATGGGCTGCTGATATTGATAGCATTTTTAAAGTAAAATGCTAACCTGCATTTAACTCCAGTTAAGATTCAATAGTGACCCCAACCAACTTGGATCAAATAAGACAAGAGGAAGTGATCTTTCCGTACAGTTTCAACCTGAGTCTTAATAATTATTTGTTTGTTACAGCGGTGGCAATGGCGAGGGTCTGGAAGGTCGCGAGGAGGAGACGCAGTTCCCCACAGCCAGCATGATGAGGCAGTCGCCTCTGATGCAGCACTGTCCTCTGAGGGGTGCTCCCAAGTGTCCTCCTGCTTCTAAGAGGTAGTACAATAATTTTAAGAAATATTTGAAGAACCATTGAATGTTATATTTATCAGATCAAAAGACAAATACCTCAAATATCAGATTTAAGGCACGTAAAAATAATAAAAAGCTAACTTTGAACTTGATTAATAACCAATGTTCTTTCTTCTAGATACCGCACCCACGATGGCACATGCAACAACATCAACCGTCCCCGATGGGGGGCCACCATGACTCCTGTCCAGCGGTTCCTATCACCATCCTACTCTGATGGACTCCAAGCAGCCAGGCGGTCCATCTTCGGCTCCAAACTTCCTTCAGCAAGAGAGATCAGTTCCACCATACATGAAGATAGGAATGCGGAGACGATTGGAGTGACGCATTTGCTGATGCAGTGGGGACAGTTTCTGGACCATGATGTGACGTCATCATCCCAGTCCCGAGGTTTCAATGGATCGGTGCCGAGGTGCTGTAAGGATGGCGGGAAGGATTTCGTTCCTAAAGAGTTTATGGCAAGTTTACTATGATATTATCCTGTCTCAAAAGTGTAGACATTAATAAAAGTCTCCGATGATTCTTGATGATTGATGAAATATTTCCCCTCTTTTTTATTTTTGGAGTCAAATGACGCCAGCTAAAGAAAACGACATTTTGTTGTACTTCTTCAAAATGTTTTTTGGAACAACCAAATCAATTTTAAAAAGAATTTTCCTAAATTTTAACGGACACTCAACTTTCTTTCGTAGCATCCAGAATGCTTTCCCATCCCAGTGCCAGCATCAGATCCGTTCTACGGTCCTCGTGGAGTGCGGTGCCTTGACTTCGTGCGCTCAGCGCCAGCACCCCGCGATGACTGCGCCCTCGGCTGGCGGGAGCAGCTGAACCAAGTGTCCGCCTATATAGATGGGTCACCGCTGTACGGCAGTTCGGCTACCAAGTCTGACAAGTTGAGGCTGTTCAGGAATGGTGAGTAAAATATTTATAAGTTATAAGTTTCTTTATGTTCTCAGCGCTATAATTGAATTATCAAAACCTATTTTTTGTAAGGTACACGAAAGCACCATAGAGATCGACTTTTTTCTCAAATCTTCTATTATTTCCATCAGGTATGCTCCAATACGGAAGGGTTCAGCAACGTCGGCCAGTTCTTCCACCGGAGCGACGCGACGAGCTATGCCGTAAGGGGGCTGTGTCCACTGACTGCTTCAAGTCTGGAGACGCCAGAGTCAACGAGCACCCAGGACTAGTGGCCGCTCATATCGTGTGGCTGAGGCAACATAACAGGTAAAGAAAAGAAACAGTATTTATTGTAAGGAACTCAGAGATTTTGCTCACAATATGATCCAGAAATAAACAGTTCACGAATCAGTAAACCAAGAATTTAAAACTTCTTTCAGTGTAATACTCAATTTTCATTCTAGCGTTTTCTAAAACCTGATCTGCCCTTATTCCTCCTTAAAATTGTCATGGTGACTTGCACACAAAGCCTTTAATCAATCAATTACGTCCCTTCCTTTCAGAATGGCTCAAGAGCTGACACACCTGAACCCACACTGGAGTGACGAGAAGATCTATCAGGAGACGCGCAAGATTGTGGGAGCCATGATACAGCACATAACTTATAGAGAATTCCTGCCTATAGTGCTCGGTGAGTTGGAAACATTCCAATCTGGAGATAATCCATTTTAATAAATAGACAAGGAGGTTGAAAATAGTAGAAATTCCCCAGAAAAAGAATGTAATAAGCACTTTACTTAGAGTTCCATTCCGCTTATTTCTCTTTTGTGATCGTAAAATGTGAAAATCACTCAACACAATTATGTACCTATATCTAAAATACTGCTTATTTGAAACACTCCTTCCCAGGTTCCGAGGTGATGCATCGCTTTGAGCTGGAATTACAGAAGAAAGGATATTACAAGGGTTACAACCCTAAGATCAACGCTAGTCCAGCCAGCTCGTTTGGTTCAGCAGCCTTCAGGTTCGGCCACAGCCTCGTGCAGTCTTCCATGGTACGCTTCGACAGGTTCCATAGGCCCATGAGTAACAGTGAGTAGCTAAAATATTATCTTTGTTAAAAATAAAAAACAGACTTAAGATTTTATCGTACAATTAAGCTACCTGAACATTTTGTCGTATGTTTTTGATCAGTAAATTGTAAAAGATTATATTTATCATTAAGTTCCACGTTAGTATTGATGACATGACAACTTATGAATGCTAATTTCTTAGATGTTTCTCTTCACGACGAACTAACAAACCCTTCCAACATCTGGTCCATCGGAGCAGTAGACCGTCTTCTCCTCGGTATGCTGAACCAGCCGATACAAAAACGCGACGAATTCATTACGGGAGAGCTCACCAACCACCTCTTCCAAACTCCTCATTTCGACTTCGGAATGGACCTCGCGGCTATTAACATTCAGAGGGGGAGGGACCATGGAGTGCCTCCATACACATCGTGGAGGGAACCTTGTGGGTTATCCGCTATTGAAGACTTTGAGGACCTACTTCGAGTGATGCCAGCCAGGGCCGCGAGGAAGATGAAGGCACTGTATAGGTAGGTAAAATATTCTGATGGACTCCAAAGAACTCTCATGATACAACTAGATTCCAATTTAAACTATCATGTAATTTTCCAGGCACGTAGATGATATAGACCTATTCACTGCGGGTATGGCAGAGAGACCAGTAGTTGGAGGTCTCGTGGGACCAACATTTGCCTGCATCATAGCTCAGCAGTTCAGCAACCTCAGGAAAGGAGATCGCTTTTGGTGAGTCGAACTACTTGAGTAATAATAATAATATTAAACCAAGGCACCTTACGAAAAAGATACACCTACCTAGTATCTACTTGTAACATAATTTGGATACCTATTTTACTGTTACTTCCAGGTACGAAAACGGAGGTTTTGAATCATCGTTCACGCCAGCGCAACTCCAACAAATTCGTAGGATCTCCTTCGCACAAATTCTCTGCAGGACTTTAGACAGTATAGAGACAGTACAGCCGTTCGTTTTCCTCTCAACTGACAACCCTGACAATGACAGGATATCCTGCCAGAACGGACTGCTAAATAACTTTGACTTATCTCCCTGGGTCGAAATAGATCAAGACGCTGAATCTGACAATGACATTAGCAAATCTGAAGAGACTACTCCAAAACACGTAAGGAAAACCACAACTACATCTAAACCTTCGACTACTAAAAGGACAGCTCCAAAAGGTGCCTTAAAGCCTAACAAAAAGAAACCTGACAATAATTCCACAACTATCAAAAACATGACGATTGAAAATTTGACTAAAGAAAACTTGACTGACATACTTAACTTAACTGAACTAAAGAAAGACAACGACAGTGACGAACTTAACTTGACTTTGACTTTGACTAAAGACGTGACCACGACGACTAAACCTAATATGACAACTAAACCCACCGTGACTAGACGTGACGTACAGATTGACGACAAACTTGACTTTAAAAACAAAAGCCGACGTTTTGATGACTTTAAAATGGACTCTAGACGTAGACCTGCTAACAAGTATGACGAATATGACTATGACGACGAAGAAGACACTCAACAAGTGCAATCAGTTGTTATAAATAACGTTGCGCATAAGAGACCACAATACAATAGACCTAACCGTCGACCAGTGATTACGGTGACTGAGAACATTGACAAATACACTTACTTGATAAACTATGTGCCGAGACCAACAGAGTCTTGGCGACAGTCGACCAGACGACACACTACAGGACGACCCATGACTGACAGAGACGTAGTCAAAGTGACATACCAGACTTACGACGACACTTATAGACGACCAAATAAGCCTTACTACTACAACAGACAAGACACTCAACAAAACAACTACAGATACAACAGACCAACACACACTACTAAGTATAACTATCCTTCGTCTGCTAGATCTAATGACGAGACTGTGACTCGAAGAGACAAAGTGACTGACAAACCAGACGCTAAAACTGAAACCACGACTGACTTATATAAACTAGTGACGTTTGGTTACGTAGGGACTTACAAAGGTGAAGCTAGTACGACAGAAAAAAAGATGACTGACAAACAAATTGCTGCTAAAGATATAACTGAGAAAGATGTGACTGACAGACATAAAGCTGAGACTATTAGTAAAGACTTCTCGACTTTTGACGTTAATGAAGATAAAAACATGAAACTGTCGACGTTTTACGTCTATGAGACTGCAACAAAACCTTACTTACAAAGACCGACAAGACGGAATGATGAAGTGCCGATACAGACAAATAAATACTATTACATAAGGAACGTATTACACAAATACTATGACGATGACAAAAGTACTCCAAGACCTAACAACAAAGATGAGAAGAAAGAAGTTAATCACAATGCATACAACGAACCAGACAATCAGAAAATAGAAGAAAGGTCAGCTGTTGACAAGATGGCTTCATTGGACGAGGTTGAAATAAAATCTAAAGCGCAGGAGAAGCTTAAAACCAGAATAAAACCAAGTTCAAGCCCAGCGAAAACTCCATCAGTGGCTTTCCAAGTTATTCCGAGTGAGAACAGGTGAGTTTGAAAATGCATATTTTAAAATATACTGAATCATTGCTGAACATTCAAACATCGATATTTAACCCAAGGTCTAATGGAGTATGGTGTATCTTTGATCTAATAAATAGGTACTCAATAGGTACAACTGGTGTCTACCTTAGTAAATGCGATGTTTAAATAACATATCGATATGCATCTCTCTTCTTCATTATCATAATATCAATATCATTTCAAGTGCATTGTGTAATTAGTTTGCTCAGTGCAATTAAATATAATTACTGATTAAATCGTGATACTAGAGTAATTACTGCAGACCACCCTAGGTAACACTAGGATTTTCTTATTCATTATCGTCATTAACGTTTATATATTACATGATACATGATGAACCAAAATTTTTATTACAGTGCCTCCCATTGGGCGGTCTACGAAGAAAATTCTGACCTACCCGAGCAGCATAAAATGCCGGCAATTAAGACAGATCCTTATGCTCTCAAGGAAATACCAACACCTATCGCCTTCAACAGTTTCAGAAGACGGAGACCGGGCATCGGAAGACCATGAGAACAATAGCAGCTTTAGATAATCTTGCCTAACCCTTAAATAGATTTAAGGACATTATAGTAACAATTTTGAGATTTTTGATTAATGAACAGGCGTCATTCCTGTTGGTACGTGATATTTTAATAGGCAATTCTAAATTGAAGCTAGTTTTAGATGAGAATAAATGATAATTAATCGAGATGTTAAGTAAAAATGTGTAATAGGGGATCGGATCAGACCCAAAAAAATATTTTTACAATATGACGGGTAGTCAAGCAAGCAAATGGTGTCAATTTTTTTAGAAACACTAGTTACTTTTTCGATCCCCTATTCATGACAGAAAGTGCTAAGTAGCCACGTAGGGTGAATGATTTGTTTTTAAACATGACTTATTGTAAAATGACTTACTAATGACGACTATGACTCGATAACATGACTTGTAACAATAGACGGACTCAAGGACTCATAACAATAATATGTACCTACTTATTTGGATATCTATGTACCTACGTTGGTGTGGAGGACAAACTAAATCAAAATGTGATGCAACAATGATCATATTGATGACACTAAATATTTATCATGCTGCGATATTTTTAGTAAACATGACTGCTTAATTCCGTTGACTGACTTATCTCCAATCTTATCAACTGGGTATTTTTAAGTATTTGGTGAAATATAAATTTGTCTATTCCAGAGTACTTAAATAACAACTAAGAATGAGACCGTGTCACGTATGGGCTCTTCCCATGAGTAGCGTGCACGACCGCGGCGACGTCTGTAGGTTAGGTAGGCTGAAGTTAATACACGACTTGACAAATTGGCTCTTATCACTTGACTGAAAAATCTGTAATAAATTGACTGGACTTAGACTGAAAATAAAATTTATTGGACTTCAATAGAACTAACTACCTGCTTTCGTAATATTAAATTTGACTGACACCTGCTCTCAAAGACCAATACGAAACATGTGACACGACTGACTATAATTTACTGATATTTTTAGTAACTGACAGACAAAATATTAATGTAATTTCATTTTATAAACATAAAATCAAAATTATTACTGTATAAATGAGAGGCAATAAGGATGTGGAAGTTTTTAGCAGGTACTTGCTCTACACAATAATATGATAACGCGACTTAAGACTTGACTATTCAAATGACAATAGATTGACTTTTATTGGCTGACTATGACTATACCAACGGACCACACAAAGGTCGATAAATGTAGCTATGAATTGGGCTATAGAAAAAAATAATACGAAAATTATTTCCAGAATTAACTAACTTGACTACATGAATAACTACACCTGACTGACTCAAATAAATTATTGACTGACTGTCTATCTGACTGAATGGCTGACAGATTGACTGACTTGACTAAAACTAATCGACAAAACTAGACGCAGATATGTAATAGTATACATTATGAAACCAAATGACAATAGTCAATAAGCGTAATAGCGTAACGTAATAACGTTACGCTATAACATGACTTCAGAAATATATTGACAATGACGAGTCATAATGACTGACGGACAACTGTAAACTTTTAAAAATAATAACGACTTTAATGAACAAAATATATTTCATTTATTATTTCACTTATAAGTAGGTACATAAAAGGATTTTTTATGACAATAACAATGACATTTTTATAACTAGATCTCGTCATGACAAGTTATTTAAGTATGACAATATGACTGACATATTTGCTAAATACGACTAAAGACTGTTTGATTTTAAACTTAAAATTTATTTTTAATTACCTATAGTTTTGTAATAGTTGAATAAATATTTTTAATTTATTGTAACATTGTCATAGTAATAAGTTAATAGTACACTTGATATTAATTTTGGGAAACCCAGTAAGTACTGGGTAAATTATTTTTTTACATCAGTAAGCACGATCACATAATTTAGTTTGGCATTCAATTTGATCATAAATATTTATCGGATGTGTGTAATTACTAGGATTATAGTATGCTACATAGTCCAGAACAATCACTTACAAATGACTAATTAATTTCCAAATGAAATATTTTTTTCATCAATATTTTAATAGGTATAGATGTAGTATACTTTTTCCTTATAACAATAACATTACAATGTGAATAAAATAATTTAAAAATAATCTACTAACTTGTTTAATTTTAAAATCTTTGTAAAATAAGTCATCTTTGGCGGCAAAATTTTGTTAGTTTTAAAACAGGAAAGTTCTCAGCAAACATTCTGAAAGCTTATAGGAGTTATATTGTAGTTTAGGAGCTATATCACAAAACACATTGATTATAATATTATGTGGCCACATAAGATACCAGACACTGGATTCAAGAATTATAAGGACTGATACGACATACTGAGAATGAAAACAAATCACAGGTGTGCCTTGATCACAATAGATGTTAGGATTAATTAAGTACATTACTCCACCGTGTTAGTAATATAATATTTTACTTAAGTAGGTACTTTCATCAGGTATCCATCGTAGACAGGTTATCATTAAAGATTACATTTTACAGTTATGTAGTTTGAACATACATACACAAATCACAATTTATACATTTATACTTTTGATTTACTTAGTCCCTCTCTGGGTAGAACTGCACCAGGGTCTTGGACAGCTCCTGAGCCAACTCAGCAGTACTAGTACAGAGTACTCGGCGTGATAACAGGTCCAGAGGCCCACCAGCAGGGTCTATACAGACTCCTCCAGCCTCTCTTACCAAAATATCTCCCGCAGCAATATCCCAAGCATGGATTCCAAATTCAAAGTTGGCATCAGCCCCACCCATAGCCACCATTGCCATATTCAATGCAGCAGAGCCCAGTGAACGCAAGCCATGACCATTGTTCACCACAAGTTTGTAATTCTCAAAAACAATTCTACATCTCTCTTCATCTCGACTTGTGCCAGCTTCAAAAGCAACTAAAGCATTGCGCAGCTCAGTGACTTGAGATACATGTATCTGTCTGCCGTTCAAGAATGCTCCCTGACCCTTCTTAGCAGTAAACAGCTGGCCTAAGTTAGGGTTGTAAATAATACCAGCAACACACTCCTTGTTGATCGCGAGACCAACAGATATGCAACACAGAGGAAAACCGTGAATAAAGTTGAGTGTACCATCCACTGGGTCAATGATCCAAGTAGGAGCGTCAGTCAGCTCGCACTTCGCTCCACCAGAGACCGATTCCTCACCAATAAACTTATGCGTTGGAAATTTTTTGGATAAACCGCCAATAAGTGTTTCCTCGACCTTCTTATCTATTTCAGTAACAAGGTCAATATCACAGGACTTCTTCTCAAACACTTTACATCCGTTTACATGTTCGCTTATAAGGTTTCCTGCAGATTTAACCAGTGATAAGGCGACATCGAAATATTCGTCTACTTTATCCATTTTGAATGAAAGGTTCCGTTGGGCAACTCGTAAGTGAAGGCGAATGTAACACGGTAAAAGTTTTCCGATAATTCTGACAGAAGTGGTTAATAACAGAAAAAATAAGATAAGCAGCCGTATTCACTGAGTAGTTCGACTTCTCATCTGACAGCATGACTGACTGAGCTGACAATGACATTGTCTTTTGACACCAGTTAGCATTGCCAGTTAGTGTCAAATTCTCGCCTTGACACTGACAGTTTTAATCAATTCATTCAAATTATTTATTCGAAACTTGTGTTCAGAACTCGGTTGGAGGAGCACCTTCTGGTTTACAACTAAAAATAATGCCATTTGAATACTACCTTGCAAATACATGTTTGCTAATTGAGGGACAGCGGGACAGGGTAGGGTGTAATGAATATCTTTTTTGACGATAGTAGGGTCTAGCAGGACCGATTTTGTTCGACATGGCTTCAAAATCTTGCAATTTTTCAAAATCTAATAAAAAAAATGTTCAGTATTCCTCCTTAGAACATAGAATCTAGCCAACGAAAGCGGCCCAAAAAATGGAGCCAATTAAAAAAAAATCAGCAGGTTTAACTCTTTCAGTCTTGGTGGTCACTGCAGCTAACCACCATTTACTAGAAATTTTTTTTTTTAAGTATGCTTCAAATTAGTTAGCATTGGTTTTTAAGCATTTCAGTATAATTGAATAAAATATATTCGTTACCAGTTAAAAGTGTGACTGAAAGAGTTAAAAGCTAACAGACCACTGCTGAAAGCTGAAACGGTCTTGATACTTTTTTCTAGTTTAAAAATAAGTTACCCAATATTTTTCATATTGACGAATGTTTTTGGACAGCTTTCGTTGGCCTAGACATTTTTGCTGATTGAGGGACCTTGGCTTGAGACAGTAATTTCGTATTTTATCGGTCGCGTCGGTGCGAGAATCGAAATCACGTCACTTTGGGGTTCCTCCACAAACCTGAGATCTGTTAATATTTATTAACAGATCTCAGGTCCCGATATCCGCTCAGGTATACCTGTGGATATAGGGCTATAGGGCTACAGCCCTATTTTTTGGTACCACCCTGGTCTGTGCGAGTTTGTGTTTGTTGAAAAAACTTCTGAAATCACTGAAATACCGTTTTGGCAGTCTGTTTGTACAAAAGGTTGGTGTGGGTTGAAATAAAACAAATAATGTAAAAATCATGAAAAATTGTTTAATTGGCATGCCAACACTGATAACTTGTTACAACCTATGGCCAATTTTACAATTATCAATATTGTTAATAATTAAATATAATATTTATGTAAAATAAGTTTATGCTTCAATGTTTACTTACATTTAAATTTTATATTATTATTCGGGAAACTATAATAATGAATAAAAAAAGTGGTCATGAAGACTCTTGGTAAATAATGATAAAAAATGCTCGCACGATACAAGTTAGGCCTCTGTTACAAGAGACAATTCCATTCCATTTTACGTATTAAGTCGACAATAAACAAAACTTAAGGCCACAATTTATTACTACGAGTCTTACCTAAGTGTATAAGAGCAAGCCGTTCTAGCGCAAACCCTCGCCTGCAGACACAAATAATACCGTTTTATATTTATGTAAACAAATTTACATGACACCACCTGCTCGGTGTATTTACATTCAACATGCTGCGGGATGTACGAGACATTGGTGTAACACTAACACGGGGCGTCACGCCGCCTCGCTCGCGCATTGCACTCCATCGGTACAGCTCAGAACTTTGAGCGAGACTGCTTTGCACAAATATTTCTATTTTGCTTCATTCAAAATTATTATATTTTGTGCTCAATGTTATTTTCAAAAAACTGAGCCGACTGCAAGTGTGTGGTTAAGTCAACTATGTTTCCGTCGAGCACGGCGTCACACCCCATTACATGAAAGCTCACATGTTTACTTATAACTATCATTAAAATTTGTATGGCAACTAAGCGCTCAGTGACGCACACTGATATATTTACATTGTAGGTGTCGAGCACCGAGCACACTCGACGGAGACACGAGTGGAGGCGGCAGTAGTGGCGGTGCGGTGTAGTACATACTGGAGTCGTGGAGACGGAGTGTGCTCAGCGGTGACGCGGTAGATCTCGCAAACGGTACGATTGACAATGGAGGGGGACTCAGATATCGCAACAACAGTCTTGGTTACTCAGTCGCGTTTAAATGCAATCAGATAAGTAATATTTTGCCACATTTTAATAATACTTTAAAAAATTTCATTACAAATATCACCCAATGAGTAATTTAACAATCTACCCGTCCAACATGGTCTGGGCAAAATGAAAATCTCGATTGTTAGGAATGTATAGTTTAATACTGGGATGGGTATTATCACCAATTGCTATTGTGTTGAGAGATTCGACTGTTTAAATGCAGTATTTGTTTAGTGTAAATTGAGCACCCGCGTGATAGTTCTAGACGTAGGAACCTGTACGCCATAGGTTGCTCGCGGTGCGCGGCCTGTAACTCGGAACGAATATACTACTCCTTCATTTTTCATGCATTTGTAAAACTATTATATTGACATATAAATTAGCGTACATATTCATACATCTAAAACTGAAAAAATGTACTCAAAATATTTCATAATGATATTAAAATTTCACGTACATAATATATAATAATATTATACAATGAAAGAAAACGTATATTAGATACAAAAGCCTATGCGTTCTCAGCTGTTCGCTATATCCATACATTAACTCGATTTACATTGACTCGAGGGCCACACGCATACAATCGTAAGTTTGTATCGCTAATGTACAACTCCTACATCGCATCCTGGCTAGTTCAATCTGACACGGCTTTACAATACCATAATGCCTCACCCAAGATTTATATACAAAAATACGATTGTAATATACTAGAGCTACATGTAAGAGCATCATATGAACAAATGTATTCTCCGGTAATTAAGTACGTCGACAAAGATAGAACAGTTATAAAGAAATAACAATAAAATTTCAAAAATAACTACTTAGCCTAAAGTCAAATAGTCACTAAACTGATGTTAATCACGTTTGACATAGTTCATTGTATAAAACAAAATATTAGCAATATGTGTGGCATATTGATAATATTCCTGCCTACCCCTCGAGCTGTTAGCTTGAGTGGGTGTACCACAACACTCCAGCGCTCAGCTTGGAACTGACTTCATTGGATTATTGTTGTACATAGAACGCGTGCATTTGGACGACAGTTTAGAATACTTGAAAAAGGGTTGTTGCAAATTCGTCACAAAGTAAATTCGTCACGTGCACTAAAATATACATAAACGCATCACAGGAAGGTAAAAGTTGTTGTAGATTGGTCACAAATCCTGCTTTTATGTAATTTTTGCCAGTTTTTCTTTTAAAAAAATCGCACATATGGGCGAGAAGGGTGGAATACTTCAAGCGAGATTCGTTAAGGTGTCATTCGTCTGGGTGCGATAGAAGGATAATGTAATTAATTAATTTATTCTTATCATGGTTTCAATTTTTTGCTATCCTTACGAAATAAGGCACTGTGACGAATTCACAGTAACCAAAATTTATATTTTGGAAATGTATTACATAAATTAGAACGGTGTCGCATTTACACATATTTTGATGAATGACGATGATTTTACTTTGTTATGGATTTAAAACGACCCGAATAAAATAGTGAGAGAAGACATTACGTCACATGTGCTATTACATGTAGTGTTACGCGGTCGTAGCGTGACGTCACCGGGCCTCGCTCGGCACTGCCCGCGCGCCGCAGTACATCACTTGGAAGCGACGTACTGCGGCGCGCGGGGCAGATACTAAGTTATTGCTAACGTGACACGTCTGTACATCAACGTGACGGTTGAGTCGTGTAGTGGCGAGCGTTCCGTGACGTGACGAGTGTGGAGTTACTCGACGCTGTTGGTGGTGTCGTTGACGTCGTCGAAGGACTCGTCCCCCGAGCCCGCGCCCGGCGCCAGCGACGTGCGCTTCATGCGGGACGACGACGACGCGCCCGACAGACCGATGCCGCCGCCCTGCCGTCTGGGGACATCACGCATACTTATTATTGCTACAGATGATGACAACTTAATTCATGTTACAATTAATATAGCGCCAAACATTCTCAGTTCCGTAAGTAACACACATCAAAACCGGACGACACAATGAACACAGTTATTCCAAGCGACGACCCACGCTACTCTCGACCATAGATGCGCTGGTTCCCCTACTCACAACCAACATTTACAAAACCAATCGAAAAGGAATTTTGACCAAATTCCTAAAACCAACACAGCACAATAATGAATGAAGTTTTATCGTTGAGTGAATATGAATATCATTCGTTCATTCGATGACTGAGAGTGAAGGATTACAAGCATGACGATCAGTAACTGTCAATAAAAGCAGAAGTTCCCATTCCACATGTATCGTCCAATGCGAGCGAACCCATTAGTCCCGGGTTTATTCCCGGCTGAGTTTAGTAGCCAGTATACCTGCGCTAGTCGCTCGCTCGTAGTTCGTCTTACTCACTCCCCCACTCGCTAGTAGTTTCGTCATCAGCAAACGACGGCCTAACGGAAATATAATACAACACATACATCTGTGTACTGAGACGGACATGTCCATGTTAATCAGGATATGCACAAAGAAAGTTAGTTTACAAAGGCAGTCTGGGAGTTACTTGTAATATCCTTAGAGGGAGGGGATATACAAGAATATCTAGGCACAAGTAGATAGTCGTATACATGAAATAGAACATCTTCTTCTAAACATATTCATTTAGGCTGTCCAAGCAGAAATCCTTTCAAAACTTGCATTGGAGAGATCAGCTGGCTAAGTCTGGAAAAAAGCTAAATTAGTATAGAAGGCCACAATAAATTATATTATTTACCTGAGCTTGTTGCGCAGGTTGTTGCACTCCCTCGTGAGAGTCTCGTGTGTCTCGAGCATGTCTTCGAGTTCTCTCTGCGCCTTACGTTTCCCGACCTTCTCGCGCTGTACCTCCTCCTCCACCTCGTCTAGTTGACGCTTCAGAGCCTTCACGCGGACGTTCATCTAGAATGCAATTCATTACCGTTAGTAACTATCTTTTTACGCGTCCTTCTTAATTTGTAATGTAATTTGATATCTTCTAAGCCTTATGCCCCCACAAACTTACTATATTTTATACAACAGGGTCTAAGTAATGTTATAGTCAATCTACAAAATATCTCACTTTTTATGACACATATTGGCACTAATTCTCAAAACATTTGCACGTAAATACAATAGAAATATCAAAGAAAAACAGTCACCAAGAACCAGGTGGTACTACTTATTTTTGTAATAAGGCCTTCAACGAAGAATCAAGATGTCAGGACTTACCTTCTCAATCTGTTCCTTGTACTGGTCAGCATGCCTCCTCTCCTCGTCCAGTTGCAGCGCGAGTTCCTTCATCTTCTTGTCCAACTTGCGCGAAGCCTTCTGTTGCGCCAGTCGCTCGCGGGACTCTGCCTCCAACTGCTCCTCCAGGTTAGCCACCTTCAGCTCCAGGGAAGTTATCACGCCCTGATAATACGAAAAATAATCACTAACCATGTTTCATGTATAAAAAACCTTTAATTTTTGATGAAGTTTCTGATATCATTCTTCTTCAAATAGATTTATTTACTCATTTCAAGTCATTGGACGTTAGGAGTATGTGGCTATCTATTTAATTATGCCCAAAACAACTTGAAAACAAAGGTTTATTGTTAAAAGTTAAAGTCTCTGGAGCCGAGACAAAAACAATAGCTCACATCAGAACAATACTGAGGTATGGTGTCAGAACTACTTTATAAATAACACAGAACTATGCCCTTGAACAGATAGGACAGAGATATTGAATGTAACCTCCCATTTTCGCAGGCCATATATAATAGAGGAGACGCGGTCGGGCTGATTTGTTTTAATATATTTGATGAGCCGACGTGTGATCACTATCTCGCCTATTCGTAAGCGATGATGTGGCCTACGATGGATCACGTCGTCCCATAATGATTATGATGATAATGATGCCGACAGCTGGTTTCCTTACCTTGGTCTTGGTCCTGGCGGCAGTCTCCAGCTCTGCGAGCTTGGCCTTGAGTTCCTTGTTTTGCCGTTCCAGTACTAACTTGCCGCTCTCCAGTTTCTGCGTGGCAGACTTCTCTGTGCCCAGTTCCATTGTAAGCTGGTCGATTTGGTTCTGTGGAAGGACAGGATACAATTTAAGTTTTGCATGTCTACTAGAAGCTAAGAAGTATATTAACTTATTGTAATTGTGAAACTTTGTGAAGATGGACGACTTTCATGCAGGTGCATCATAAAGATCCATATAAATTAGTTTAGAATAATGGCTGAAATTCTTTTATTATGTTCTATTCTTTGTATATAACTTTCCACTGTCTCATTGGCCGAGCGGTCGCAAGTGCGACTGCCGGCAAGGGGTCTCGGGTTGATTCTCGGGTCGGGCAAAGTATTACTTGTTTTTTTTTCAAAAAGCACGGAGACTGGAATTCTGCCCGATAGACAGATATTACATGGGATTCATAACTAAAATGGGATTGTACAGTAGCATTAAGTGCCGTAATGTGCACCTGTGGGGCCCTTCGGGGATAAAAAGGCGTAAATGTTGTTATGTTATAATTTTCCACTAGGATGTAGATAAATCCGATTTGTGAAGTATACTTTTAAATATATCCACATTGTACTGCTAGTATACCTGTGATTTCCGAAGCCTGTCGTTGAGGATTTCATTATTGGACTGTTCCTCATCCAGGTCCTCCTCGAGCGCTGCTATCCGTGCCTCCAGTCGCTTCTTCTCGTCGATGAGAAGTGTACTCTGCAAATTAACATTTTAGTTATAAACTCATATCGACACATGATTTACGTCATCTATGAAACCAGAAGAGATTTCTCTTGTAGGCAATATTGTAGCTTATTGTATGGATATCGTTGGCAAATATTTTAATTTGTATAAACTTGCTATTTTAGATAGGTTGTAGTTTATGAATATTGATGTTAGAGAACCAATCTGAGATGATAATAATTTTGTTAAAGACATATTCAGTTAGCATGAGTTTCAATAAGTGTAATGTAGTGCTGTAACAAAATAGGTGGCGATATCTAGTGGACTAAATTAGAAGAAGTCACGATCCTCAACAGGGACGGAAACAACTCAGTAGGACAGAAGTGTAGCGCTGTGTATGTAGCGTACCTTGGAGGAGGAGTTATTGAGCTCGTCGAGCAGGTCGTCCCTCTCGGCCTCGGCCTGGCGGCGCGCGCGGTCGGCGGCGGCGAGTTCCTCGGCGTGCGCGAGTGCCTCGGCCTCCAGCGCCTTGCCGCGGCGCTCGGCCTCCCGCGCGGCGGCGGCGGCCTCCTCGCGGCCGGCGCGGGCCTCCTCGGCCTCGCGCGCCGCCTCCTTCAACTGCTGCTGCAACTTCTTCACTTGCTTCGCTGCGTCTTCTTTCACCTGCCACGGACCAGAACATACGATCAATAAGGCGCACGTCGATATTCAACAAAAACGAATTTCACAATATACTTTATGTAAAAATTATTACATAAGCTAACGACAGGACACAAGTTGCGTGTCATCTTGACGAATTTATTGTAATCTAAATATTAGATTGACTAGAACGACAGTAGGAAACCTTTTGAACTCCAGAGTTGGCCATAAGTAGACGGCAAACAAAATGCACTTACATGTTTCCTTATCGACTACATGACCGCAAAGACGGATTGGCCCAATTTTTCTCATCTATAGCGTAGCACTCAAAAAGTTTATTGTAACAAAAATAGAATGTTACCTTGTTGGCGAGATGTAGTGCCTGCTCAGCGTCCTTGAGGTCTGCGTCAAGTTTCTTCCTCATGGCGAGTACTGCAGCGCGCTGCTTGCGCTCGTCGTCCAGCTCTGCCTCCAGGTCTCGCAGCTGCTTCACTATACCGCGCCGCTTCTCCTCGCCCTGTTCCTCCTTAGCCTGGAAGACAAAGGAACATACGGTTTAATACAACTATCACCGTTTGTGTATAACTATACTACAAATATTTTACTAGATCTCCCATAAAAATATTGGTCGTAATTTTAGTTAAATAGTATTTATCTAGCTGATCTAGCGGCAGGGTCTTGAAGTGACGAGAAACTAATCAAACATCTAATAAGTGATTTACTAGAATTACTCAATATCTAGTATATTAGAAGTATATTAGAGGAAAAAATACAAACCTGAAGGTCCCTTTCGAACTGAGCTCGCATAGCCTGCATATTGACTTCGAGGCGTAGTTTAGCGTCCTCAGTGATTTGCAGGTCGTCCTCGATCTCCTCGTTCTGTGCCTTCAGTTCAGCTACTTGTGACTCCAGGGCTCGCTTGGCCTTCTCCAGCTCGTGTACGTTCTTGTCCGCGGTGCCTTGCGTGTTGGCTAGCTCATCTAGCTCTGATTGCAGGAGGCGTTTTGTGCGTTCTAGTTCTTCGACCTAGGTAACGAAATGTGTGTGATTAAATACTGATACAATTTTCGAAGTATGTGGAACAATTCATGTACTATTATTTTTTCCAGTCCTGATTTTGATAACTTAGTATAAAACGTAACTACAACAATAGTTTTGGAGTTACCAGCTAAAAGTATCAACAAGAGATTATCTCAAATACTAATGTTCTAGTAGATTATAAAAGAACCCGGTGAGTATAGTTACCTTCTCTGCAGCAGTGTCAAGTTCCCTAGTGAGTGAGAGTACGCGAGTCTCCTTGTCCCGGGCGTCCCTCTCGGCCGCGTCACGCTCCGCCGCGTAACGCTCTGCTATTGCACGCTCTTCTGATACCACCTGGAATAAAACATCATTTAATTAAAAGAAACGTCGAAATATGGTTTTCCGTCAAGCTATTAAGAAAGCGAGAGGGTTTTCCACTTCAAAGAGTAGATTGATATGAAGAAGAACGAGCTAGAGTATCATCTTAAAGAGAAAAACATAATCAGTGATACAGCCCGGGGGTCAAACTCACGTTTTCTTCTCAGTAGTATTAAGAATCAGTTACAAGTTTCCATATACTGTACCTTATCAAAGCTCTTCTGTTTCTTCTCGAGCTCCATAACCTTGGCTCTCTGGGCCTCCAGGTCAATGTTTGTGTCTTCCAATTCCGCCTGGATCTTCTTTTTACCTAAAGAAAAATTTAAGATAATAAAATATTTGAACAAGTAAGGCCCCCATCAACTCCAACAATCCTTAAATTCGTAATACCCAAAAGGCCGGTACCGCCTCTGGTGTTCCAGGTGTCCATGGGCGGCGCCGATTGCTTACAATCAGGTGCTCCGTCTGCTAGTTTACCGGCTTATCCCATAAAAAAGACCATGATAAAGTGGTTTTTTTTAAGGGGGAAAAATCATCGAATGTCTAATCCCGCCTGGGTGAGGCGGGAGGGAGTGTCAGACTCTTACTGACTAAAAACCACCCCGTTCCTTCTCCTGCACGTCGAGCCGGAGCCCCGGTTACCCGTTAGGTTCTCTGGTTACGTTACGTTTTTTATTATTTGGTGGTGGTTTAATCGAAATCAATTATTGAATTTGGGATGTACTATGTATTGTACTTTGCCAGACATTAATTTTAATCGATTCTGGGTTTATGTTCTAAGCATTTTTGGGTATTCTCCTTTGACTTGTTGAAGTAACTATTTTAAAGATCGTAATGTTAGTAAGAGAATGTCTACTAACTCTTATCAAGCTTGTCGTTAGCCTGTTGCAGCTCGTCAATCTGTCGATGTAATGCCTCGACATCCTTGCTGAGCTTCTTGCGTTGTTCCTCGAGCGCGGCCGCATTCTCTGCTTCTTCTTCCGCCTTCTTTTTAGCGTCCGCCACTTGTTGGGTCAACGCTGTTACCTGGATCATTCAAATTTATTGTTTAAATTGAAACTGTGAATAGCGAAATAGTTTTTGATATTGATGAGCTAATGTTACTCTAAATCTGTCAATCAATCAATCTCTAAGTCACATTTTTTACGCATTTTCATGCTAATTATTTTGAAATAATTTTAACAAAAATAGTTTATGTACGAAAAAGAGCATATTTTTTTCGGAATACATCAATACATTCTGAATTAGACGACAATCATAACCATAAAAAGATAAAGAGAATTCTTCCTTCATTATTTTCTTAGAATTCATGAATAAAGAGTTCTTTAAAGTAACTTATTGATCTCTCAGCGCTCGTCAAAAGTATAGTATTTAATTCGCCTAGATATCTTAATATGAATAACACGACCGTGTGCTACTCACTTGTTTCTCCAAGTTCTTCTTGGCCTCCTCCTCTTCCTCGAGTTGGTCCCTGGCTTGCTCCAGTTGTTGCTCGATGTTGCGCAGTTTGGTTTGTAGAGACAATTTTTGTTTCGTTTCCTCTTCTAGTAGCGCCTGGTACATACAAGAATATAATTTAGAACAAACTTTGTAATACTACACCACTGTCAAAATAATGGTGATATTTACTTAATTGTATTTAAGTAGTCCATTAAATAGAAAGTGGCTCTGAAATATGAAATAGAATCTGTAACTGTAAAACACATAATGGGTGATTGACGAAGTTTAATATTAGCTGTATAAGGGCTGATTTTTCAAACGAATTAAAAACCAACAACTTTTTTAGCTCGGCCGCCTCCAGCTGCCTCGGCCCTAAGTGAGTCAGTATGTGATGTACTGGCGACAGTGTACCTGTGCCTCTGCGAGCTGCGCGCCGAGCGTGGCGGAGTGTTTGTGCGCGGCGGAGGCGTTGAGCTCGGCCGCCTCCAGCTGCCTCGGCCCTAAGTGAGTCAGTATGTGATGTACTGGCGACAGTGTACCTGTGCCTCTGCGAGCTGCGCGCCGAGCGTGGCGGAGTGTTTGTGCGCGGCGGAGGCGTTGAGCTCGGCCGCCTCCAGCTGCCTCGGCCCTAAGTGAGTCAGTATGTGATGTACTGGCGACAGTGTACCTGTGCCTCTGCGAGCTGCGCGCCGAGCGTGGCGGAGTGTTTGTGCGCGGCGGAGGCGTTGAGCTCGGCCGCCTCCAGCTGCCTCGGCCCTAAGTGAGTCAGTATGTGATGTACTGGCGACAGTGTACCTGTGCCTCTGCGAGCTGCGCGCCGAGCGTGGCGGAGTGTTTGTGCGCGGCGGAGGCGTTGAGCTCGGCCGCCTCCAGCTGCCTCGGCCCTAAGTGAGTCAGTATGTGATGTACTGGCGACAGTGTACCTGTGCCTCTGCGAGCTGCGCGCCGAGCGTGGCGGAGTGTTTGTGCGCGGCGGAGGCGTTGAGCTCGGCCGCCTCCAGCTGCCTCGGCCCTAAGTGAGTCAGTATGTGATGTACTGGCGACAGTGTACCTGTGCCTCTGCGAGCTGCGCGCCGAGCGTGGCGGAGTGTTTGTGCGCGGCGGAGGCGTTGAGCTCGGCCGCCTCCAGCTGCCTCGGCCCTAAGTGAGTCAGTATGTGATGTACTGGCGACAGTGTACCTGTGCCTCTGCGAGCTGCGCGCCGAGCGTGGCGGAGTGTTTGTGCGCGGCGGAGGCGTTGAGCTCGGCCGCCTCCAGCTGGCCGGCGGCCGCCTCGGCCTCGCTCGCCAGGCGCGTGCACTTCTCCTGCAGCTCCGACCTGGTCACAGCATTCAAAATATACAGTAAGACGATGCCTTTGATCTCGTGTAAAATGCCGACATTGTCTAGACAGTAACGCATCGGCCAGGGTTGTCAAAAATATGAGATGTGTATGATTTAGTTACTGTACACCGTTGAAGAGTTACATTTCGACAACACCATCAGTTTTATCACCTTTGAAAACCGTGTAAAGATTCTGACAGCGCCATCATTTTAACCACCCTCGAAAACCATGACAACGATACCCTTGACGATAAATTGAAAATTTCGGGCAGCGGCCATCTTGGATTTGCATTTTGACAACACCATAATTTTCACCACCCTCGAAAACCATGAAAACGACACCCATGACGATAATTTGAAAATTTCGTGCAGCCGCCATCTTGAATTTAGATTCTGACAACACTATCAGTTTCACCACCCTCAAAAACCATGAAAACGACACCCATGACGATAATTTGAAAATTTCGTGCAGCCGCCATCTTGAATTTAGATTCTGACAACACTATCAGTTTCACCACCCTCGAAAACTATGAAAATGATATCCATGACGATAAATTGTAAATTTCATGCAGCAGCAAACATACTATACATAAAAAAGAAACAATCATTCGAACATAATGCCTACTTCTTTTTTTGAAATCGGTTAAAACATACACGCGTTAGCCCTGAATAATATATCCCGAGCTACTAACATCGTTTTGTTCGCAGCTCGGGATCGGCCTACCCGCGTCTCATCCTTCACACCCCGCACGATTGCCCTGTCTAAGACGTCTTCGTTGGACGACTGTATATACTGTGCGCACGGTTATACTACTATTACTGTGAGAAGCCCACGGCGTGGTTCGAAAGTAGTCGGAAATGATACGGGTAAACCGTAAAACATAATGATTCAGTTCTTAATAGGAAATATAAGTAAATATTTGAGTAGGTACCTGACACGGTCTACATCCTGCAGTTTGGCCGCAATCTCTTGTAACTGTGCCTCAGCCTGCTTCCGTCTTCGCTCGCCCTCGGCCCGCGCGGCACTCGCGCTCTTCAGCTCCGTCGCCAAGTCCGCATTCTCGGCTTCCAATACTTGTTTGGCTTTCTCCAGAGCTGTGGATTAAAAAAATACGTCTTAGAATATACTGCTAAAATGTGCCTAAACGTGAAAATAAAAAGGGCAAGAACAATATAATACCCTAACATCGCAACTAAATGTTTCTAATGACATCTTGAAAACATCAATACATAAAGATTCGTAAAACTTTTCCTTTTTGCGCCGTCTTCACTGTATTAATTTTTTTTGTGTGTTATTGTACTGTGACGGTGTGCAAATAAACAATTTTTCTTTCTTACTTTCTATATACACTAGATCTCCACCAAACCCACAAACTAGAGATAAAAGATCGTTTTAACAGTCGTATCTAAACATTTTGAGTGCCGCCACTTTTCAACTTTGTCAACAACCTTTGACACGGAATAAAATATCGTCGGAGAGAACTGTATAATACCAGTACATATTAAGGAGATATCGGCCCTGCGGTCAGACTCCGGGCTCCGACACAAGTGCTGCCAGTAGTCGCGCGCCGAGCTAAAGGAGTTGCCCGGCTCGCAAGGGAACGCATTGTTCTCCACCTCGAAGTTGTCATCCTTCGACAACCCAAACTTTACGTTCTTCTGTCTACGCTCCTTTACGCACGCCATCACACATAATAATGTAAACTAAAATATCTAAACTAAAATATTTTTTATATAATTTTATTGACTCGTGTAGATGATTGATAGAAAAGATTTTGACGATTTTATTTTTGACAAATGTAATTTGGATTTGGAAGTTGTCATTGTTTTTGCTCGTCGTTTTGAACGTCAGTGTCATTGGGTCGTTTTAGTTTTGAAGAAGTTTTGGTTATTGTTTAGTAAACCTACTTTTCTTTCTTGTGATTGGATTTATCAAGGACGTTGAATTTTAATGCCTTTGTGATTTATACCTCCATTTCCTATGAATATATAAGTTAGGTGAGTGGACCAAAGTACTGTAACCACAAAGATTAGGCGGACAGCGTCGAGCTGGTAATTAAAAACCGCGAAAAATAGAGAAATCCCGTATCAGATACCCATGCACTTTGGCTCAGTCTACGGATAGGTAAGTATGTAAATATTTTAACCTGTGGAAAGAAATATGTCCAAGGTCCAAGCTATACTAACCGGCCTTAGTCTTCTTGAGCTGGTCGTGTTGTTCGTTGAGTTGTTGTAGTTCCTGGGAGTGCTTGTGCCTCTGGTCTGCGAGGCTGGCCTCGTGGGCCGCGGCCTCCTCCTCCAGACTGCGCTTCAGGACTGCTACTTCTTGCTCGCGCTTTGTACGGAGCTCCTGTTGGGCTGGAAAGGAAAAAAGACAAGAGAATCAAATAAAATGTAGTAATAAATTCAAATGTTTTGTGAGTAAGTGGTTACTGTACTTTTCGATTTTTAAACATGAGATTTAATTAGGCATACATTATATCATATCATATCTCAAGGACTATAGCAAATTTTATATTAATGTGTTATTTATATTGCTTTGCTCAGCTTTGCTTTTAAATACACAATAACAATTCAAACAAAAAATCAATTTAACTTACCAGCTGTAGTATCGAGCGAGTCCAGCAATTCACTCTTGAGTGCCTCCAGTTCCTCGTTGAGGTCCCTGCGCAGTTTCTCTGCCTTGGTCCTGGCGGCGCGCTCGGCGTCGAGGTCCTCGTGCGCGTCTGCGAGCGCGGACTCGGCCTCCCGCGCGGCCTTCTGCGCCGCCGCGCGCGCCGCGCTCTCCTCGTCCGCGCGACTTATTGCAGACGCTAACTCTTCCTCGCGCTTTGCTACAAAATTATTAACAGTTCAATACGCTTGTTCAATACATTGAGTATAAATATCGTTTGTTGCGAGTTCTGCTATGTAGTTATAAGCTTCATAGCTATCATCGTTTTATTTGTATTAAAAAAAAATGATAAATCTTTTTTTGAATTTATAAAGTACAACTAAAAATATAACTAACAAGCAACGAAACTTACAATGTTTAATACAGTCGATAGTAAAACTGACGTTAGAAAATGACATTCTTAAATTCATCTGCTATGAAATATCCGCCTATTGGATAATTCATACAATTTTGTATCAACATACAGTTCATATACATAATATACGTACTGAGCACAATCTGCAACTCTTCAAGCTGCGCCTTCCTCTCAGTGAGCTGTTCCTTGACATCCTGCAGTTCCGTCTCCAGCTTCCGCTTGGCACGGTCCGTCTCTTGACGCATTTGGTGATCCTGGTACATAACGAAACATGTTGTGAAATGTTACAGATTACTTTTCAAAATAATAAATAACGACTGTATTTTTTTTGTATCACTTACAATGGATACATAACTTAGTAACAAAAATATCGAAACTAGGATGATTTGTCTACTAATTTTAAGCATTATTTGTGAAATTTTTATCGGTACCTTTTTTTGACTTCTAATTCTATACAATGACTACCACATGGAGTGCCTATGAGTCCATTAAAACTAACCTTAAGAAGTTTCTCCTCAAGCTCTGCGATTGCGGACTCCTGCTTGGTCTTGAGCTTGCTGAGGTGCTTCGCTTTCTCCTCCTCCTCGGCCAGTGCCTGGGACAAGTCGTTGGCACGCTCTTCTAAGATCTGGAAAATATAAAAACATATATTATAGTTAAGTTTTTAATGTACAAAATTTTTTTTTTTTACTTGTGACCAAAAAATCTATCGAAAATGGGAATATAAGTATAGTGTTGAAAAAGTTACAATATAAAAGTTTAAATAAAAATTGTATCTATTTCTAGAAGGTTATATTATAAATTGTTAGTAAGTACTTTAAATCGATTTATCATTGCTGCTTATTGCCACTATTAGGTCACTAGTAGGCAAATTCAGACGACAACAATATTTTATCACAATTATGAATATGTTATCAACTAATAAATTGATTCACTTAATCCGGTCGTTACTACGAAAATTTTTAATTCCAAGATTATTCAAGTGTTTTTTCAACGATTTCCTCCTCAACTTTTTTGTTTTTCAGAGAAATGTCCTAAAAGGTACTAAATTTCTATTTTTGGTTATTGAATTAACTGCTTTTGGGTTTGAATGAGAACCATGTGTACTGTAGTAGAACTAAATCGAAAAAAATCGATTTTGCACAATGAACCAACTCAATTTGGGATTCTGTATTAAATACTTATATCACTGTAATTTTTGATTAATTTCTGGTATATTGTGGTAAATAACGTGTTCTAAAAATCACATTATATACCTTAAAAGAAATGTAAAATAGTAAATGTTGTTTACCTTCTTCTCCTTGACAAGTTTCTGGTTGGTATCGTCGCTGAGTGCGAGGTCCTCCTCCAGCTTCTTGATCTTGGAGTCACACTGCACGCGCTCCAGCTGCAGCTTCTGTCTGGCAGCTTCCTCCTCTTCCAGCTGTTCCTCCAGATCCTAGATGTAAAGAAAATAAATGTATTAGCCGATGTTTATTTAACTAGCTATGTTGTGATGGTGAAAATAGTGTTGCTCTATAAATGTTAACAGAAATATGTAATATCCAAGAAGAAAAAAGGAAAATGTACTAAATTAAATTTAACTGCCACTAAAAACTTTGATACACAGTAAATTCTGTAATAAATTTCATTTTTCGTAAATATTTATATGAGATCACCCCCATCCCCAATCCCTAAAGACCGGCGACGCACTTGTAACCTTAGTCTTCCTGGAGTCAATGGGCGACGCCGATTATTTGCTATCAGCTGATCAAAATCTGACAAAAATCTAGTAAAAGTTCTTTACCTGTATGTTAAGCTGCAACCTCTTCTTCTCCTGTTGCAGCGCGTTGCACCGTTCCTCCTCCTCCTCGATGCGTCCCTCCAGGTCGTGCAGCAGCTCCTCCAGCTCCTGCTTGCGTGCCGCGGCCCGGGCGCGGGACTCCTCCGCCTCCGCGCACAACTCCAACTCAGCCTAAAAACCACAAAAACATCTTAGCAAAACATACTTCCACTTGCCTATATCTCTTATACTTAATTATGTACCTAACGAGGTTGACATAACATTAAGTTTAATTAATCCTTAAATGATCAAAAATCGCTACCTAAGTTACATTTATAATAATTACCAAATGAATTAAATCGGACTGATGCTATCAATCAAATAAATCTTCACCATTATTATGTATAGACAAGAGCTCCATAGTACTGCTAAAGTATAACTATTCAGGCAGCAATGAGAGTTACAGAATAAACGTGTTTTATGTTTATACTTCAATAGAGAATGTCCATTTAACCTATCTAAAGAAAGGTTTCTCATAAATGACTTTGAAAAAGTAATAAATATCTATGGGAAAAAAGTGACATATATTTTTCTTTTAGCTGCTCTTTTCAAAGTTCTAAAATAGTGATAAGCACATCCTCTACAAAACTTAACTTGTTTATGTAGAAAGTTAATGATACTGACCTGTAGTTGTTCAGCCAACTGTGTCTTCTCAGCATTGGCCTGCTGGTACTTCTGCTCGTACTCCTGGCATCTCTTCACCTGGGTGTCCAATCTCTCACGAATCTGACGGAGCTCGTCCTCCTTCTGTGTCAACTTCTCTTCTTGCTTCGTCACTTCTAGAAGGGGTTTGACCTGGAAATCGGGTTAGGGTTCGGTGATGGGACACAGAACATGCAAACACAGTATACACATACAAAGTTAATGGTATGACATACAGAAATATTGGTAATGTTACACGACTATATCAATAATGACTGTCTTGTTAATTAGGCTAGGTCTCCACCAAAGCAGAAACGAAAGGAAAGTAGTGGAGATGTATATTAAACAATCACTCAGTAATTTCCATTGAAACTGAGAAGAGAACTAAACTCTATTGGTTGTTTAAAAAAACATCTCCAATCGTCACGTCCCCGCTCTTGTGAAGCCCGAACCTAATGTTGTACCAATAATCCTGTATTGAAAAACATTTAGTGACATGTTCGATGAATGAAAGCGTAACATGGAAAGCTCAATTGCGTCCGCGAAACAAGGTGATCACTATGCAGCTTGGAAACAAAAATATAATGAGACATTTTTAATGAATGTGTTAAGAGTTAAGAATGACAATGATATTGTATGCGCTTACGCATGTCGGCAGGTTACATTATGTATGAGTTAGAATTTAGTTAACAAAATATTTGATAACAAAAAATAAGAGTATGTTACGTTGCAGCTCTTCTCTGCGTCTTACTCGACGTCTTCTTATTATGTCTGTAACTTTACTGTAACTCCATACACTTACATCAGTGCGCTATAGTATTCGCAGTTAAGATAATTATTACACAAAGAAATGAATAGAATTTGTTATGCATTAATGCAGGAATATTTCCAAAACATAACTAGATCTATATTCATTAGATGACTACATAGAATGACGTGTATTTTATGAAAAGTGGTATTGAAGTGATTTGGAGCGGTATCGCGGCGGTAATGTTTACTTACCTTGATGTACAGTCTCCACCATTGCCAGTTGCGAAGCTTGAGGTAGGCGGCACAGTTCCTCTGAATGATACGGATAGCGTTCAGCTGTTGCAGTCTCTTCTGGTAGTTTCTCCTAGCAAGGTAGCCTCGGCAGAACGCTTGGAAGTTGACTATCAAGTCAGTGATCTTGTAGTCCCGTTCCTCCTCAAGATGTGCCAGTACACCAGCCCGGAAGAAGATCTTGGACTGACCGACGCGGTACAAATTGTGATCTAACTCTAGAGCCTCGATCATCTGCTCACAAGCCTTCTTTCCATCCATGAAACCTTTCGGTATGATGTTAGGAGTCAGCAGCTCATAGCGCTGTCTGAACTCCTGGAAGGGAATACGGTTGGGGAAACCTTGTCTGCAGATCCTGATACCTTCAAGCACACCATTGCAACGTAACTGGTCGAGAACTAGAGGCGCTTCGATCTTTCCAGCCTTCTTCTCGTGGTTGGGAATGATACACCTTACGAAGTTCGGGTTAGTGTTCCTTAGCGTCGCCATCAGTTTGGTCAGCTGTTCCTTGTACAATTGAGAGACTGTTCTGAACATGCCCTTGCGGGTCCTCGCACCGAACTGTGTGTCCGTCATCGCCTGCTGCGCCATGCCCACGATCTCCGCGTCCTTCCAGATGTGACACACGAACGGATCCTGAGATGACTGGAGGAGGGACACGACGTTCTCGTTCAGAGGGTCCATATTCTTCATCAACCATTTCTCTGCGGAATAGTCTACTTTGCCAGCGTAGTGAATAATCGCGAAGTCCGCAACTCCACGGAAGTCAGTCTTCATGAACTTGGGATGGACGGAGTGTGCTGACACCAGCTTCTCAACAAACGTCTTATCAGTAGCCTTGGGGAACCAGCACTCCTCGTCCAACAAAGCCATTATTCCCATAGGTTTGTCGATCAAGTCGATGGTCGGTTGCAAATCGAGACCGAAATCGATAAACTTCCACTCGATACCTTCGCGTTGGTACTCTTCTTGTTCTAAGATGAACATAGTGTGGTTGAAGAGTTGCTGGAGCTTCTCGTTGGTGTAGTTGATGCAGAGCTGCTCAAAGGAGTTGAGCTCGAAGATTTCAAAACCAGCCATATCGAGAATACCGATAAAGGACGCTCCTTGTCTCTTGGTCCTGTCGAGGGAGCGGTTGATTCTGTTCACGAGCCATCTGAACAAGCGCTCGTAGCAAGCCTTGCCGATAGCTTCCACTGAGAACTCCACCTGCTCCTTGGTCTGAGCTTTCGTGACGAAGTCGCGACCCACTTTGATTCTAGGTTTGAGGAACGCCTTAGTCATTTCTGTGACGGAAAGACCTGGAACAGAAAGAGAAATACGTGAGACCAATTACACCGACGACTATCCATAAATGACATTAAAATGATAATAAAATTTTTTCATACCAAGTAAATGCGCGATCTTTTGCGCGACTGTGTTGTCAGGCAACGTGGCCTGGTCGGAGTTCCTCTCCTGCTTGAACTGCATGGAGCCGAAGAGTAGAGTTGCTGAGACTATCCTGAATATCGAGTTGAAGTCCTCGTTGTTCATGCCCATGATGTTCATGGACTTGATGGTGGCCTGGAACTCGGCTGCATCGTCGATACCAGGGACGGGGAGTGCAGCATTGGATAGGAATGGATAGCTCTTGGGGTCCTCTAGGATGTACTCAGCTCTCTGCTGCGTCGTGGCACCGGCAAGGAGCTGGTAGAATATGTGGAATGTTCTCTCGTCTTTCGCTTGTCTGATAGCTCTTGACTTTTCGAGTAAATACGTTTCGATGTTCGCGCCCGCTATGAAACCTGACGCGTCGAAGTTTATTCTAATGAATTTACCCTGAAATCAGAAACAGTACGTGAGATTACCTATTGTATAGTATCGAATACATTTCAGAAGATAATAGTTATACTTACAAATCTAGAAGAGTTGTCGTTTTTAACAGTCTTGGCGTTACCGAAGGCTTCTAATATGGGGTTAGCTTGTAACAGCTGTTGTTCCAGTTCACCCTATAGAAAAGAAAATGTGTTATTATTTCTAGTAAACAACAGATTTGTTTCCGCAAATGAAATAAAAACATGTTAATGAATAAGCTTTTAGTAATGGTATCTAAATGCTGTTAAAATAAAAAACGAATTCATGGATGTTAGTAAATGAAATTTAAGATTTGTAAACTTGACGTAATTTACGGCCCATTTTTCATTCAAAAATATGTTCTATCGACTTGTGCCAAGTTCAACAAAATCTTAACATCCAAACAATGTTAATAAAGAGTATTATTGTATGACAGGGTTTAGAGCAACGTTGAAAACGAATGGTTAGCTTTCCATTACCTCGAATGTTGGTCCATTTGTCTACGAAGGGATTAGCAGCGTGAAATGAAAGGTTACAGGTTAATGTTACAGGGTTAGTATGATCCATACAATACAATAGCAACATACAATCACAATACATTCACTAATATACCTCTTTGAATGAGAATTTTGTTGAATTACATGTTACAAGACACGTTGCAGCAACATAATAAAATTTTCTTTTTAAGTTACTATTTTTTTTAATAATTGTAACTTTTCTACTAATTAGCAAACATAAAGTTTAAGACCCCGTTACTAAAATAATAATATACATAACGAACATAAATTAGGTACAAAATATTATTATACCATAAACGTTCGTCTCGCAACATGTTTCGCAACACGTTCTCTTTACGTATGTTCTAGTACAACAATATTTATTTACGACTCATAAAGAGGTATATTTTACGACGGACGACGAGAATTGACCATTGTTAAGCAATTTAATGACAAATTCATACATTCAGGTTAGCACATGACGCAAAGCTGATTACTTGTAAGGTTGTGGGAGTGGATATTCTTAAACTAATGAGGTACACTGAAATGTACAAACTAGGGAACAATAAATATGTATAAATATGATTGAACAACAAAATAAAATAATAATTCTGAAAAGAAGAAGTTAAGAGCCTTTGTTGTAATTTTGTAACTGTTTTAAAGAGACGTATAATATACTAAATATTGACAAATATACAATAACGGTTCTCACTGGAGAACACACGTTATATAATCGGTACATAAATAAATAAACTAGATAACAATTACTTAAAGGGTAAACATGCAAGCTTTGTTTCTCAAACTTAGTAATCAGGCATAGCATTAATAAAATAAAAAGATAGAATTCACCATGTAAGAAGAAATTGATGACACCCTGTAGCGCAATGCTCTTGCCATGCCAAACCCAACCATAGCCCGTTGTAAAAGCACCCATTATCCAATCCAAGTATATTGTGGCAAATTATTCTCTAGCATTTGATTTAATTCAATATTAATATGTTATGTATGTATTATCATTGAATATATTTACATTGTATTATTCGTTATTTATAAATTGCAATGATTCATTGATACTATTTTCTCTGAATTGAATTAATCGATGACTAGACCATAGATAAAAAACCTTTTTTATCAAAAGTAGAACATTAAACTTTTTACTTACGTTCATATGTGTAGAAAGTAAGTATCAGTAAAATTAGGTTTGAAAATTTTACATGGGGCCCTTTCCAGCCCCCGGGTCATGTTTATAGCTGTGACGTCTTTAAAAACAAACGATGGGATAGTTGTTATCATGGTTACTCCAGTGCCGAAAAATACATTCCGCAGTTATTCCACAATTTCAGCATTGTGTAAATGAGAGAATAATGTACCACACCCAAAATACCATCCCTAAATCCGGCAGGCGATTAGTAATTATCCTGTTTTTTGTATAAGTATTCCATGACTTACTATAATCAACTGTGGCGACGGTCCCTGTTGTGGTCGTATCGATATCCAGGATCACGGAGAAGAGGGAAAATAAAAAAAATATACATCAGTGTGTTGTAGAACAGAAATAAAACAGATTCTTAATTATCTACACTCATTATGTTGCCAGAAAAATTATTCTTTGTTCGATTTTTAAGATAGATTTTCCATTTTTTTGTTTTTCTAGCAACACTAAGAAATAGTTCAATGTGCTGTACATAACAATTGCCATCATGCATGTGTCGAAGTGGTATCAAACAAACATATATGTATAGCGTACAGTAAACCAGAAAAATTACGCACACTCTGCATACAAAATCCAAGATCTAGCTGTGAAACTTTTACGATATATCGTAACAATAGATATAACAACGAGTCTAAGTAATAGGAACAACAATTAGCATCAATTTGCAGAATAATTGTAAATACTAGCAGAAACTTCAGTGCCCTAGATAATCAGTATAAGTAAGTAATATTTAATTATTAGACTGAAGAGAAAGTACCTATAAAATACGTATTTGTACCAATTTGCTAGCCGATAACAAATTGTTTTAATTCGCTCACCCGAACGCGATAGTCGAACCAGAACACGTGCGAACGCTTACAACAATGCAATTAACGATTAATTTAATAGATAATTAAAAACGTATAATAAAACAATAAAACTAGCGTCATTCCATTATGTGGATAAAAAAGTATAATGACATTTTGAATTTAGTTACCTAGTTAGAACTTACTGAACACTAGAAAGAAGGATTTACGTTTCTAACGATAATCCTACTATAAATAAATATCTGACTACTTTTTGCTTAAACCTATACTTTAAAGCTATTTAAGAAATCCTTTACGTACCCTCAAAAACCCAATTCATAGTTATTATTCACATGACTGTACCAAGTCAAGTAATAACTATATAATTTACTAAATTACCTATTGAAATGACAATCAAAACGTCCCCTAACTTAAACAGCCCCTTACAACAGTTATAACGTCTATAATGCAGTAGTAGTAACTCAATTATTTAAGCGCGTATTCATTAAGTCCACGCAAGTGTCATAGTAGATACCACAGATTATGTAAACGATAGTTATGTTACTGCTTTAGTTAAATAAACATTGTCATTTAACTTTGTAGTTACGTCTAGGAAGTGAACTGAACTAGGATAACTAGCTACCTGTATATGTAACTTGAGAATTTGGTACAATAAGAGATAAAACAAAATAAGATGTAATATGAATTTTGAATAAATATTCATAGTTCATATTGCACTAAATAGTATTTAAATACCTAATATATCTATTATAATCACTAATAATATTCCTAAATAACGCTATCATAATAATATTATCATGACTAGACATTGTTGATTTTATATCATGAAACAATACAAGAATTTCAAAAAGAAAATATATGGTCATATATTTCACAGAGCGTTCAATTTAATTTCGTAATAGTATTTTTGTAAACAATGCAAGGGATAAATATGCAAATTTCAAACAATAAAGACACATCACATTGTAAACTTATATTTAGCTCGATATTTTTATTTAGATGCGGTATTTGCAGTCTCTAAAAGAATACTTTTGAATAAGTCTATAATTTTAAGCTTTGATCCTACCATAAATATAATATGTTCTGTCCTATATCTAATCAAAGTATCATCCTACACATATTATGGCAGGTAGTTGCCGTTCCAGACAATCAGTGGAATCTGTTTAAAAATCTGGCTAGCCAAAACTAGCCAGGAATAGGCCCTAAGAAGAAATTACGTACCTAGACTATACTTATGTATACTCGGTATTTTTTTTAATAAAATGAGTTTGACCATGGTGCTTACCGCTCCAGATCCCTTGGGTTTTGATGCGGCGACGTACGCGAGGTATTGTATCACCTTCTTCGTGTTCTCTGTCTTACCAGCACCAGATTCTCCTGTGCAAAGAATTGACTGGTCCTCTCGATCTGGAAGGTATGAGGTACTCGTATTAGTATATGGATTTATTGAATATTTTACTAATGATATAACACTTTTGAAAGAAATGGAATGTAATATGTAAAATTGGATACTTCTAATAATAACATTAATAATAAGCTCTATCAATATGGTCTGTTTGGTTAATTAAGCTATTTTAGCATTCTGAAATATGCACTAATTACAATGTTTATCCTTCCTGGATACAGAAAAGAATAATGTACAATACACAAAATTCAGTATACGCAGTAACATTTGCAGAATGTGTACAAATAGAATGCGAAGTATGTCCCCTGAAAATTGTTTACATTTTTCAGGCCGGTTTAATTTGCGAAACATGACGAGGGTAGCCGGGAGGCCTCGACGGCGGTTTTAATGACGACCCTAGTATTATAATGAATACGTGTTGTTGTAGGGGAAATTGTTGGGCGGGTGAGAGGAAAAGATAAGCATAACATCTTGTAACCTTTTTAAGGCAGAGTTAGAGTTAGCAGTTATAGAAATGATCTGTGTAACGTGCTATTGTACAGCTTAGGAATATAGATGATAATAAATATTAAAAGAAATCATCTACTTTTCCCACTTTGAAGTTTAAGATCAATCGAGTTATCGTATTGTAACTATCGTTTTAATTCACTTTGTAAGTGAAAAAGGCGTGAAGATTGCGTTGACGTATTTGATACGGACGGAGCTAGACCAAACTAAATATTAACTAGTTATTTCTGGATTTTTATATCACATTTCTATTTATTTTCATTGAAAATTGCACACATAGTCGGCGTATATGAAAAAGTTTGTTAACATTATACAGGGAACAGGAAAATCGAACATATGCCTATTTTCTTGATAAACAGAAATAAATTCATACAAGTGAATTAAAAATTCACACCCTTCCCAATTAAATATTTCCAGGCAAAGAACTTTAGGCATGTAACTGATGACAAACAACTAATTTAGAATCCTGTTAATAAATCAGGATAGCAGAACATTTTTCCTTAAAACACAAATAAACATACAATACACAGTTGTAGTACGATTGTTGTAGGTTGTTACACAAATAATTTTCCTTCCCGTAGCAATACTTCCTGTAGTCAGATACAGTGGATTTGCATTGTATTCTATGGTACAATTCTGTCGCCATATCGTACTCAGTAATTAGGTGGTTACGAAACATTCTGCTGTTGTTGTAGGCGTTGCCCTTACCTGCTAGTGCTAGGATCATTAGTGGTGTCGTAGTGTAGATGGGATATTATATGCTAGTGATGGGGAAACCGAGAAAAGTCAAGTTTTAAAATAATTTAAGGAAATTTAATAGTTCTTGACGAAAAACTAGTTCCTTTAGTAACTAATATTTATTATACTGTATACTGCTGGACCAAAACACTGCTCAGGCTCTGGTTATACCTATTACTTTTACGGCCTAACAGAAAACCGACCTGAAATAACGCTTGCGTTGTGTTTCGTCGTGTAAGTGAAGTTACCAGAGGCCCAATTACACTCCTCCCCAGTCTCCCTAATCCTCGAATCCCCCACAATCCTCAAATTCCCAATTCATAAAAGGCCGGTAACGCACTTGTAATGCTCCTGGTGGTTCAGATGTCCATGGGCGGCGCCGATTGCTTACCATCAGGGGACCCGTGAGCTCGTTTACTGACTTATCCCATTAAAAAAATATATCGATTACGCTTAGGTATTATCAAATTATAAGTACAGTTGAAATATGCTTCTAAATAATTTTATTGTTGTATTTTCAACCTGGACAATAATGATACAATATCCAGACAGTATAACTAGACTGCGATAAGTTACTAGGTCGCTCTAATTGTTTAGTAATAGCTCTCGATATTGAGTAAATTACGTCGCAGCTGTGAGGGGACAAAATGAGTAATAAGCATTTTCCATATTTGTCTATTGTCAGCGAAATTAGCCAACACTTTATAAAGCAATATTGCCTAGTAAGATACATTGCAGGGAGCAGGTTTTCGTGTCGAATATAGTATTATTAATTGACTTTACGGTGCTTAGCAATTAATTTTATCTATGCCCATAATGGTACAGTCTCAATAAATCAAATATCATGAACATTTTTGTAAGAAAATGTATGTGAAAAACTGTAAACTTGAAGTTTTTTACTGAACGGATCGCTCCCCTGGGGTAACGACCAGACGCAGGAACCTGAGTGCGTTACCCCAAACGGCCTATCGATCTGCACGTCTGGATACTTTAAAAACAAAAACTTTTCTTTGGAGATTCACAACTCATACTATAAATGCGAAAGTACGTATGTTTGTTACCTCAATTTAAGTACTCAATCTTATTGAAAGACTGATAGTTGGGATAAGTATATAGGCTAAATTAACTTAGATAAAGCCGCTGTGTATAAGCTAGTTTCTAAAATAATTTTAAAGCAACCTTCTGTAAAGTATGTCGATACCGCGCCCCTCACTAGAGACCACAGATAACGAACGTTCGTCTAATTGTTCTATAATGGCGCCGATACGGAATGACTTATGGCACAACTGTCGCATACCACTTTATTTCGTACAAGGCGAGAGGTTATTTATTGCTCGAACCTGTATTTTTTCCATTACGGATAGCGAACTGTTGAAAATACTAGTTTCTTTTTAAAATGTAAACATTTGACTAAACTAAGGTTCTTTGTGAAAGCTATAGTAGTAAAACTAGTAAATAATTACTCATTCGAGGACTTATTCAGTGAGTTTTCACTAAATACCAATTCTATCAATTTACAGTTGATACTTAATTGAATAAAATTTAATTTATAAGAACTTTCGACTGATACTTAGTGATTGTTGCAACTTATCTATGTATAAACTCTGATTAAATATCTGAATACACTTCAATTTACCTTGTAACATAGAACGGTAGGCAGTGTCTGTGATGGCGAACACATGGGGAGGTACTTCATGCCGCTTTATCCCCTTATACCTCTCCATAATCTTCTCCGTGTAGATGGGCAGCTTCTTGTAGGGGTTCACCACTACACAGAAGAGACCGGAGTATGTCTGTGGAAGAAGAAAGAGGAGATAACTAAACGATTTTTAGAAAATGTTTTACTAAGGTAAACTGAAAAGAAAAACACATTGACCATATTTAAGCTTTTGACTGCCAATAAAAAACTTTTGAAGGTAAATCCTCCGGAGACGTCGGTCACCGGTGACCCCCATGGCGTTTAACGTGTAGACGTTGAACGCCATGACAGGCACAAATATTTAGCTAATGACATGAGACTGTTGCTTCCTAATACATGTGTTTGGTTTATTGAATTCTTGCATCTTTGTTAATCTATCCAGTATTATAGAACAAGGAACAATGTACACTAATTGAAATAAATCTTCATTGGCATTTCTAACCGAAGACAGGTAATGTATCATTGAAGTTATGTTCAAATATCACGCAATGTGAAGAAATGTATGAAATCTAAAACTTGAATATCGAATCTACAAAAGAGAATACTATTTTCGAAAACAAGGACCAAGAGGTAGCAAAACCAAAAAAGCGTCAAGCATAAACCACAAAATATAAATTAAAATACCGATTACGATTTTTTAATTGGGAGATAATCAAATTGGATGCGGTTATTTACAAAGATCGTAAACTTAATTCAATATAGTCAACGAGACGTTTCTGAAGTTTACAAGACGAACTTTCTAGCGTTCATTTGCTCACATAATTATGTAATTACAGTTAAAGTAACTAATAATCTGCCTTTGACGAAAACAAACAAAAAAACAGGAAATATCAGAAACATTGTCTGCCTAGGAGGAAAAGTAAAATCGTGACACAAATAAGAGTGTTACTTAACAAGATGTCGTGTAAATACCAAGCAATCCTAGTTTAGCTAGAACATTAATTAAACACGCTATTACTTCCCACATAAACATGGAACTTCGATACATATCAATGTCATAACATCACAGGGGAAAAAACAAAACGAAAACGAAAGTATCCGCATCCGTAGAAATGGCGGTAAGAACAAGAAGTGCGCAAGAGTGAATCACGCGCAACAATCGCGAACATCCGCGCATCTGCGACCGCGCATAAACTATTGTGTTGTTTCTTATAAGAAAATTGGCTTTTGTTATGTGCTACTTTTTGTGTTGTCTTGTGTTACATGGAATGTTATGTGTTATGTATACGCGTGTTATTTATAGTTCCTCTTAACCGTTTTTAAAGGGTAGATACTGTACCTACTTGAGACATCGCTGTCTGGCATGCAGATTTGTACCTCTTTGTAGATTGTGTAAAACTAGACAAGAACTTTTGATTTTGTATCAGAACATTAATATGCAATATATGGATACAAATTAACTAAAATCGCGGGTTACTTACGTGAATATAGGTACTGAGAAAAGCTCTACTAGTTTCGAACCACAGAGGGGTTCTTCCTCATGAGTGCTTTTCTCAATATATTCACGTGAGTAACCCGCGATTTTAGTTAATTAAGTATGTCTCACGATAGTTATTATAAAAAATATGGATTCAAATTTCAATTCTAACCTATGAATCCGTTTAAACTGTATTCCAAACCATACAAAGATTTCTCTAATTAATCCAACGCTATAAATGAGAATGACATACCCAATATTATGCAGGCAATTAAGATCTGTGCCCACATCATGACATTTTAATACACGAACACTTGAAATGCCGGTCGACATAAAGCACTGTGGAGCGCCCAGATAAAATTCAATCAAACTTGCTCAGCCTACTATCCGTGCAAATGAGTTTAACACTAAAGTACTAAGTTATTCAGGTCAAGTAGATAGTACTTGTATATCTTAGAGCAAACAAGTAATTAGTAGGAATAATTAACTAGATGCTAATTGGTAGAATCGTTATATTGGCAGAATTGATATACTGAGATTGATTTCTTAAATTATTAGGCTTTTGTTTACGTATTGAGGACGATAACGGACGATGTATAGCTTAGATTGATGTTACATTTTCAATGGTATACCACTTTCATTACATTAAGTATTTGATTAGGTTTCAGTAATATCATTGCGAGTTTAGAAAGCACTAGTAAGTGCTACTTACTTATTTGATAATCTTTCGTAAAACTGTCAGTCTGATTCATAACATGACGTCACGGGAGCATAGTCATAAAACTCATGTTATGTATATTTATTACGTCATTTGTGTTTTTAGGGTTGCCTGGTAAGTAAGATAAAGGAGAAGTTGTTCAGCAGAGGACGTTATCCGGTTGATAATGAATTAAGAAAATAAATAGTCCGATCTTTTTTTTTACACATCAAATATTACCTAACAGTAAATCGTCCTATGTTTGCCAATACTACAACTACCGGCGACATCAAAGCTTATCCGAGATAAGTTATCATTCTGATAAATATAATTATATCAATCAATTTACGACGTGACCCGCGTCCGGGCTGCAGGGTACTGCGTAGGAGCATAATCGATGTTTGTGTTAACACCTGACCCGGCTGATGATCTATAGATCGATAGCTTACGGCTGAATACCTTGTTGGCTGAGGTGGCAGTAAACGCGACTGCCGAGCAAGAAATCAAAATTTAAAAAAGTTGTTATTTTTTTAAAACTTGTCAATGATGCATGGAGTCCTAGAATGTTGTACCCTGTGGGATCAACACTATTATATGTACAGGACTAAAATGGCTAACAATAGTAACAATGGTTAAGGTTTAGAGACAAACTGAACAGTACTTTTTGTCTAATGGTCTAGTTTCTTTGCTATAGACATAGTAAGTATTCCTTAGCTATTTTAATCAATAATAGCACAAAATATGGCATCGTGTTGTCTGCTGCATCGTGTTTTTTGTTTATGGAATAGTAGTCAAACGAGCAGACGGATCACCTGATGGTAAGCGATCAGCGCCGCCCATGGAGATTTATTCCATTCTAATACCAAAAACTAATACCACTGGTATTTGATTCAACTCTTATTTTTTTTCTATTCCGAACGGATACTACTTTTTAAATAATTTAATTTAATGTACGAACGAATACCAACAACTTGAATTTGGTACAGTCAGCGCAGTCAAACCTAATCAAAGCAAATTTGTTTTTCAATATTTTTATGTAATCGTAATATAAAGCGACGGAACATTCGATTGAACCCCTGAGCCTTTTGTGCAGTTATATACTATCCACGGAGATCTGGGAAGTGATGAAGATCACACTCGTATAGTTCCTCTTATTTATGTTTTACTTAACAAAAAAACAAAATCAAATCAAATCAAATCAATTTATTTGTGAACACAGGTTATACAGAAGGTTGTTTAACATACATTAATAGCATCTCTATGTTCTACCAATAAAATTGGTGTACAAATAGTTATTAAGTTAGGCAGGTACGAAGCATTATTAATATATTTAAATTAAACAAGTCTATAAGAATCGTGATAGTATGTCAAAATTTATCATTTAGAAATAGGTCAATAGAATAATATGTCTTGTCAATTAAAAATAATGTCAGTTTTCGTTTAAAAAGTCTAATATTATTTTCGTTTCTTATATATTTAGGCAGTTTATTATAAATTTTTGGAGCCATTGCAAAGATACTGTTCCTGTACAGTGCAGTTCTAGATTTTAATAAGTGTAACTGGTCACAACGACGTTGACTGGTCTCGGTCAAAATTATTAAAATTGTTTTTGACGAACGTACCAGTTTCATAGATGTATAATGAGGGGACCGTCAAAATTTTGAGGTCTTTAAAGAAAGTGTAGCAGCTGTCGGTAGACTGCAGATTACAAATAGCCCTAATGCATCTTTTTTGACACTTGAATACCATTTCTTTACCGGTTGCATTCCCCCAGAAAATTATTCCATATCTTAATGTTGATGCTACTAGACCATGGTATGCTGTCAACACTGTTTTTCGGTTTGCAGTTTTATTTAACATGTGAAGAGCATAGGAATATTTATTTAACTTATTACACACTTTATCTATATGAACATCCCATTTCAATGTTTTCTGTATACTTAGTCCTAGAAATTTTGTTACATTTGTTTCATTAATACTTTATCCTTGATATTGTACGATTAAATTTTTGTATTGATCCATTCGCTGTTCAAATTTCATTATTGCCGTCTTATCTAGGTTTATGATTAAATTATTATGTTTTAACCAGAAAACAGAAGAAACATTCAAAAAATTATTTGAAATTTTGAAACAAAACATTCCTGGGTGGGAAAATTTTTAACAGATTTTGAACTAGCCGCAATGAACGCCATTACAATTGTTTTTCCGTCAGTTGTGATTAAAGGATGCTACTTTCATTATTCCAAAAATGTATGGAAAAAAGCAAAACAGTTGGATCTGACAGAAGATGCTATCACCCAAAGACACGTAAGACTTTCAGCTTTACTGCCTTTACTTCCTCGGAAATTCATATCAGAAGGATGGTGCTACATAATGGAAACTGTCCTGATACTGACGCCATTCAAACATTTAATGACTACATGGTGTCACAATGGCTAGAGAACGAGAGTTTTGTAGACATTTGGTGCGTTCATGGTGAACACCATCGAACCACAAATGCCGTAGAATCTTGGTATAAGAAATTAAACTCGGCTGTGCCAAAGAATGCTAATTTATATCAGCTTCTGAACGTGCTGAAAGAGGACGCAGATTTACAAACAGTGGTTGTTACTCAATATAAATCAAACGCACCCCCCGCAAAACGATGTACACAGACAACTATTATGAAAAATTCGTGGATCACATACGTAACTGACCAACTCCTCAAAAACAAAATCTCCGTAGGTCACTGCTTGCTGAAAAATTAAGGGTTATTTACCTTAATTGTTGAAATATAAGAAATTATTTACACGTCATTTAGCTGATTATACTAATAGTGGATTTTCTGTGATATTTTATAATTCTTAGATTATAAGTGAATTATTCATATATGACGTTTTTGCAAAAAAAAAATTGCTGATTCATTGCTATGTAGGTGATGAATGACTGATTAGATTATACAAAAAGTTCATTTTCTGTGATATTTTACAATTGTTAGATA